GGGGGGAAGGGGCTAGCATAGCATAGGCCTGAGGTGCACAAGGCAGCAGCTGCTCATGTGACTTTTAAAAGATTTAGTTTTGTGTTTTCCATCTATTTGAACTATCTGGCCGGGGCAACAGAAGCCCCTGCTGCGCGGCCCCTCCTCCGCCCCTGGCCTGGCACCGCAGCTGCTGGCTCACCTGCAGGGCCGGAGGCATGGGCTTTCCGTTCTTCCTCGAGATGTGCTTCAGGACCCTCATGGCGTCAGCGTTTTTGTTCTGGGAGATTAGCCACCTTGGGGACTCAGGTATGCACCTGGGGTACAGTGTAAGTGTGACAGTGCTGTTAGTGGAGGGAAACATTAGTGGAGGGAGACTCTGCCTGGCCCCCAGCCCCCCGCGGCCACAACCAGATCTCTGTGCGGGACCTCGCACAGCGAGGCACCTACGAAGGACATAGAGTCGTGCGGGGGCCGCATAGCAAAGGAAACGCTGACAAGTGAAAGGGGAACCTGCTCGATGGAGAAAACGTTGGCAAATCGTGCATCTGATAACAGGTTAATATCCCAAATATATAAAGAATCCATGCAATTGAATAGCAAAAACCCCAAACAGTCTGATTTAAAAATGGGCAGAGAATCTGAATAGATATTTTTTCCCAAAGGAGACATGTAGGTCGCCGACAGGTACATGCAAAGATGCTCAGCATCACTGGTCATCGGGGGATGCAAATCGAAACCACAGTGAGATACACCTGAGAAGGCTGCTGGGCCGAAGACAAGCAGTCAGCGCTGGCGAGGGTGTGGGGAAAGGGAACCCGGGCACTGCTGCTGGGAATGTAAGCTGGCGCAGCCACTAAGGAAAACAGTATGGGGGCTCCTCAAAAAATTAAAAACAGAACTACCGTATGATCTAACAATCCCACCTCTGGGTATTTACCCGAAGAAAACAAAAAAGCTAATGCAAAAAATATATATGAATCCTCAGGTTTGTTGTAACACTATTTATAATAGCCGAGGTACGGAAACAACCTAAGTATTGAGACGTTTTAGTCTTAGACAACCATGGGAAGAACAGGCGGACATGTCCAGGAATGAAATGCAGGTGCTGCGTGGGAGAGGTTCGGTTGAAAATGCAGCATCCCTCTTGCTTTGTTTCGGGTAACCTCACAGCAGGGGTTTCTGACAGTTTCTGCCCATTTTCCACGTTTCCCCTGGGCAGGGGGACAGACATAGTTCACCTGCCCTGGGAACTCTGATCGATTGGGACGGTCTGCGTGGGGAGCCATGCCGGCCTTATCTGGGATAAAGGCTGCGATGGATTGGGGATGTCTGCTTCGCGCGTGGATGTGGGGAAGTGGGGACACGAGTGCCGTGCTCTGCCTTCTCTGTCCTAAAGTTTCCTCTGAGAAGGGACAGAATAAGAATAGCAATGTTGTCAGTTTCTTCAAAGCCCCTAGAAGCTAATTTAAACACCACGTAGGTAATATGAGAATGTAAGATCCAAGATGAAAAGGGACACTTGATTTCCAAAGTGGTAGGAGCTCTTGATTTTTACCCCCGAAACAGGGGCCTGGGCTTCCTATGAAAAAGAAGAGTGAAGACTCAGAAGGATGGTGTGCATTAGAAAGGCAGAAATAAAATATAGCAATTTATTTCCTTTTTGTTCCAAATGGACTTACCAGTAATAGAGCAGGAAGCAGAAGTTGGGCAGAGTAACTGTGAACTGCAGCCACCTCCAGTGAGGCAGTGCGTACGCCACCCCGGCCAGCACCAGGAGCCCCACGGTAAAGGCCATCTGGTAAACAATCCCCACTGTCCTGCGGTAGCTCAGCCCGACAAACTCTGTAACTGCAGAGAGGAGTCATGTGGTCAGCAAGTGGGTACAACAGGGAGCTGGCTGTCCAACTACAGGGAGCCTAGAATGCCAACCTCAAAGTGTCCAAATTCTAGAACTTTCTATACAGCTCTCTGAATGTTTTTAAAAAAACAGATTTATTTCTTTTTTTAAAAATGTTTTTATTGATTTCTAGAGAGAGACGAAGGGAGAGGGATAGAGAGATAGAAACATCTATGAGAAAGAAACATCATCCATCAGCTGCCTCCTGCATGCCCCCGACTGGGGATTGAGCCCGAAACCAGGGCATGTGCCCTGACTGGGAATCGAACCAGAGACCTCTTGGTTCCTGGGTTGACACTCAACCACTGAGCCACACCAGCTGGGCTGAATTTTAAAATGTTCTTAGAGGCCTATTTTAGAATTATTGCTATTGTGTTAATTTATAGAAAAACCTTATAATCCCATGATAGATGGGGTGAAAGGCCTGCCACCATGAGCAAAACATTTGATTTGTAGAATAATTTCAAGGACAAATGCAACTGCAATTCAGATCCGCGAGAAGTTTCGACGTGGAGTAATAGGGCACTGACGGTTTAAGAGCTGAATAAATGAATCAAGCCTTGACTTTAGATTGTGGATGGCTCTCATGTAAATGAGTAGCTCAATGCAACCTGTTCTGTTACAGGGATTAAACATTTCCTGGTGCTCCTGTTAATGTGTGTGAATGGCTTGAAAACCTTGCAGTGGGTTTCACACCACCTGGAGCCAGCTAGTACTGGCTGGCACAAGCTAATTTTTAAATTATCTGGAATTTTGCAAGCTGGTTGTTAAACCCATTGGCACTTTAACATCTGTCATGGTGGAAGTATTTATAACCTAGAGATCGGAAAACACTATAAATCAGGGTTTTCGTTTTCCAGGAGCCAGCTCATCAGCACACTGCTGGACATGGTAAAATAATCAGCTTTATCCCATCCCATGACTTCGTCATTGCAGATGCACGAAGTCTGTGGAACATGGATTTAGGGAATAGTTATTTTTATATCACAAATGTACTAGAACTGAAATTGGAGATATTCCATGAGCCACAGAGTTTTTGTTTAAAATGTTTGGTAATTGTGTTGAAGACTTTAACCATTTATAAACCAAATAGAAATACCCCCTAAAAATATTTCTATAAATTACTGTGAATTATCCAAAACTATTTTAAAACAGAGTTAAACAGAAATTAAGCAAGTGCTCTGTAAATAGAAATGCCTGTCTTTCTAAGAGGCCCAGTAGAGAGGGCTCCCTCTAGGATGTGCAAAGGGATGGAAAAGAAATGTGTGAGGCTGTTGAAACTAACTGTTGCTGAAATTTAAACTCATCAATTGAATTCTACATAGTTCTACATATTATGTGTTCTAGAAGTCAAGTTACTAATCGAATTACTGCGCACATGAATTCCTTTGTGGTCCAAACATACATTAGGTGCACAGGCACCTAATAGTATCAGGCACCGTTCTTTATCTTGCAGATTCCCCCAAATTAGCTTTACCAGGTAAAATTTCAAGCACACATATTCTAGTTCTCCCATGTGTCCTGAGAGCTTTGTTATTTATTATTTCAATTTTTAAGTGTTCATCTCCCTGTATATGGGTGCTGTTTGCATGTAGCTGAAGGGAAAGTAATGGTGGGTGAATCCCCAAGACCTATGGTGGTACTTTTTTAATATTGCCTGAAAGATGCCACACTGTTAGAATCCAAATATCTTCCTGCGCTCCCTGGAGCTTAAGCCTAAGCCTGGCTACTAATGAGTAGGACACAAATGGCATCCCCGGCCCTGCAAACGGGGGAACGGGGGCCGAGGAGCCTAGATCGCCCTAGCACCTGCAGTCTCAGCTTCCCTGTATGTAAATCGAGGGTAACTGTGGTTTACTAGAATGGCTTTATGCAGACTACTAAAGTCCCTTATAAATCTAACATACCTCCCATCACTGAATTTTCTTTGTGTATAGGCCTCAAAGGCTAGATTTTCTCTCTATGAAATACCCCCAGGGTATAGCAAACACAGATTCCTAAAGAGTTATGTAAGAATCTGGATGGCGTGATGTTGACCCTCGTTGCTGATTCACTGTTTTTTTAATAGGAGGAATGCAGAATGAGTTGATTGAAAAGCTTTTAGAAATTCTTTTGACCCCAAAGAAAATACCTCTGGACACTGTCTTGAAGCTGCGTCTACTTTCCTGCTCCCCCCACCCCGACTGTGCTTTGGCAGCAGCCCAGCCGCTGCTCTCCCAGCTGCAAGCACAGCATCTTACTCAGGATGTAGCCTATCAACCAGCTCGCCTTGCTGACCAGCCCTTGGATTAAGCGGAAGATTAACATCCATGTGTAGGTTGGGGAAACCGCCATGAGGACTCCAGAGACGGCATTGATGAGGATGGTGACCAGGAGGCAGAGCTTACGGCCTAACCTGAAGGAGAAAAGCAAAGAGAGGGAAGAGTGAGGTTAGATGCATGCAGGTTGTAGAAAGTTCATGGAAGTGACGGAAATCTAATTTCTCAACTATGCACATTCAGGAGGTGCAGATTAGTACCCACCAAGAGAGTCTGACTTCAGGTCAGTCCCGTTCAAGACTTTTCATCAGCCCTCTGCCTGCATTTTAAGCACAAGAGCCCCACTCACCCCACGACCAGAGCACCTTCTGAGTCCCACACGGTGGAGGGTATTGAGGGAAAGGGCGGCTCTTCCAGGCCAGCCAGTGCTCAGCGTCCTAGGGGCCTGTCTAGGTCTTCCATCCCCAGGTGAGCTGGGCCTTTACACAAATAGTCCTGACCAACTGCCCACCCGAGAGTTTTTGCTTAAGAGAAAACAAAATGTATTGTTCAATGTGCTCCCACCCATTTTTTTTTTTTTTAAAACACTGCTTTTAGACTCTGCGGTATTTGCCTGTCTCCATGGAAATGGTCTTTTGTGCCTCACTGTCCATGAGTCCCTTCAAATATTGCCATCCTATAGGTCTTGCAGCTGAGCACCCTCGAAGGACGGTGTCCACACATTTTATTTGAGAGACTTGGGTTTCGTCAGTGGAGGGACCTAGAGAGTGCGTCAGTGCACAGAGCAGAGGAGAGCTTGGAAACCTGGGCTTTACCTTGGCCTTACCGCTTACTAGGATGTTGGGTGAGTTATTCGAGCTTTCTCAGTGTCTTCATTTGGAAAAGACCTGTCTGACCCAGCTGACGGGAGGGTTAAGTGAGATATTAGATGTAAAGAGCTGGGCACGAAGCCCTCCTTCCCCCTCCCTTCTGTTTACCAAGCTGGCTCTCGGAAAGTGGCCTCGGGGCTCTGGACTCATGTTTCACATTCTCATCACGGTCTCCTGGTCTTGTTCTGAAAGATGCCCTAGTCAGCTGGTGGGGGATATTTTAAAAGTTCTTCGTAGGAGGCAATGTTTTACTTAATCTCTGTTTATCTACTCCACACTGAAGAGCTGTTATTGCTTCTTGCCATTAGCATCGCGCTTTCAGTGGAGGCGGGACACTCTGTAATTGCTGCTCTTTTTCAGGCAACTATGTTCTAATGACCATTTGAGAATAATCCATAACATTGTTAATAATTATTTGGGAAAATGGATTTAAATCTGAAATGTAAAGATCAAACAGTCTGATGAAATGAATGTAAACTACTAAACTTTTTTTTTTTTTTTTTTTTAATATATCTTTATTGATTTCCGAGAGAGGAGAGGGAGAGAGAGAGATAGAAACATCAATGATGAGAGACCGGCTGCAGCCCGCAACCCGGGCATGTGCCCTGACCGGGAATCGAACCCTGATCACCTGGATCCTAGGCCGATGCTTAACCACTGAGCCACGCCCGGCCAGGCAAAACTACTAAACTTCTAAAACCCTGTTTTCACCACCTCTTTTATGGATTCTTCATCAACAGTTCCTCATTATAAATATATACCCCCCACAACCTTCTCTTCAAAGCCTTCCAAAGTCACATCTCAACATAATGTCCTAGCCTTCTCCCCACATTCTTCTACCCACCCCCCTTCCTTTATCCTCAAAGAGTTTATAAACCTGTGATCTAGTGATGGTTTTGCAACTTCCAAAGCTGACTGGGGCGTACCATAAACATCAGCCCCTGTCCTGTAGGCAGACAAAATCCTGTGGCTGACGAGAAGGGAATATTTACCAGTTGAAACCCAGCATGTGAAAACCTTCAGAAAATCAAATTTACGACGCAGAAAATCTTCACTGGGGGCCATGCTCCAGGTAAGGATACAAGGCACAGCTGAAAGAAATTTTGGAGATCTGGAATAGGGGTTGAGACTTCCCCCCTGCAACAGAACCCCTAAAGTGATTAAATGAAGACAAAAAGATAGAACAGGAGAGGGTGGGCTCCAGGACTGCTAGCTTTGTAAGTCCTTTAGCTACTTGCTGTGAAGACTGTGGCCCTGGGCTATGAGTGTCTCCTGGGAGTGGTCAGAAATGCAGACCCTCAGGTCCATCCCAGGCCCACTGGGTCAGAGTCCAGACTCTCACAGGGCCCTCAGGTGGTTCATAGGCACATTAACACTGGGGAGGCACTGCTTTCGTTTCATTGAGCCTCAGTTTGCTTATCTGTGGAATTGGAGATGATTAAATCTTTTGTGTGTGTGTGAGAGAGAAAGAGAGAGAAAGATTCTTCTGCTTATTTATGCAGTCATTGGTTGGTTCTTGTACATGCTCTGACCAGGGATTGAACCTTCAACCTTGGAGTATCAGGACAATGTTCTAACCAACTGAACTACCTGTCGGGGTCTCAGATCTCCTTTCGAAGGCTGTCATGATCCTAAATGAAATATGATGCATGGGGATGCCCAACACAGTCACTGGCACCTAGAAGGGAGTGGAGAACCTGATTTAGAAGCTTCCACGTGGTTGGGTAAGTCTGACTGTGACCCACTGGGACTTTGATTCCGCTTTGATCTAGCTCCACCATGAAATCCAGCCTGGGCGGTCCTGGCTCTTGAGAGCTGATTATTAGATTTTCAGAGACTTTGCAAGCTAATTGTTAAACACTGCCATTAAAGTTAAATTATACACTTACAAGTAGGTAAATTATATTAAAAACAAGTGTAATGAATGTGTAAAACATATCACTTCCCAGTTATGTCACTGTGGTTGACCATTATAATGTATATGCTCATGAGGTTCTTTACGCCTGTCTTGTATGGTGGGAGTACCAGGTGATGGTGCCTGTCTCTAGCCAACTCTGTGCTCAGTGGCCTCAGCTTGGTAGCTTGCAATGGACCAACGTGGGAGTATTTACACCATGGAAATCAGCAAATGCTACAAATTGGGGCTTTTCCCCTCAGAGAGCCAGTTGTCAAACATTTACAGAACACCTCTATATGTAGCACTTGTAATTACTGATCATTAGAACAAAAAATCTGAAATTGGTGAGAGATCCCTTTTTTGGGTCAGGAAATACTCAAAATAATTCTTTAGAAGGTTATGGGTGATGAAATAAGTTAGACACCTGGTAAAAGGTCTATTTTCAAATTCTCTAACATATGTCTTTCCTTCCCTACCCTTCCTTTTCATAGAAAATCTATTTTATTCAATGTTGGTTTAATCTGTAAAATAAAAGAGATTTCTATGAGATTCTTGTATAAAACCTGAAAATTGTTCAAAACTAGGCATTAAGTATGCAAAATATAAATTGCCTTTTTTTGAACCTATGGTGGTTATCTTATCACGCACTCCTACATGCACACACAAAGAGAACAGAAGAGGCAAAACCAAAACACTTCAGACAATTTAAGAAGAAAAAATCCAGAGGCATGGCCCCAGCTTTTCGGGGAAGAATAAAGACTAACAACTTCTCCCGGGAGATTTAAACAGTGTGAGGAAAGGAACGAAGTCATTACGAAGGCGGGTAGCTGACTGGGGATTATAGACCAGGAATGCACCCTCAGTAGAAATTATAACCCGTCTCCTACTCTTTGAGTGGGACAAGAATCATTAACCCACTGGTTTAACCAGCTGCGAGGCTCTGCCACCTGTGTGCTCCCTTCCATCCAGGTGCGTGTTAGCGTCCGCACCTCTCAGTGAAGGAGGGAGAGGAGAGGGAGCCAGGAGCCGGGTGGACGGCCACGTACTGGAGCACGGGGGACTCTGGACCTGCTCCTTTCTCTCCTGACTTAAGGGGTCATCTCCAAACAACCATCCTCAGTTCTGAGGCAATAAAAATAAAAGCGAATGACCTTCCTCTTCACCTCGCAAGGCTCCCACACAGAGTCCCAGGAAGAGCCTTTGAAGGGAAGCTGAGCAGACAGTCACAGGAGTGTTGTGATGGACAAAGACGCAGGACATACCGGTGGCCCAGCCTCTCAACATCCTCCCTCCCTCCCACAGTGGGCAGGGCTGTGAAAATGCGGATGCCCTTGGGGGTGTGATAGATTAAGCCATACTTAAGTTTAACACTACACAAGTTTTAATCCAGCCTGACAATAGGATAGAGTCAGAGAAAATGTTCCATTTACATTTAATGTTTTACTCACAGGTTTGGGTTTATCTCTATCCTATATATAGTTGGGGCAACAAGCATGAAGTATATATTTACTTTATCACTTATTTAAGAGTTAAATATATATATTTGTATTTTATATAGAACTATATGATATAACTGTACATTTATATAGTACTATATAGTGTATATTTATATAAACTTGTATATCTATATAAAACTATGTAATTTAGATATATTTGTACATCTCTGTCTCACTAGGTGACTGATGATTAAAGAGAACAATAGTGTCCAAAATGTTGAGCACAGTGCCTGGCACGTGGAGAACACCCTATAAATAGTCAGTATTGTGAGTATTAAAAATTAGCCCTGATGGCCAAGTTATCGAAAGTGTTTATCAAGAATAAAGCGAATTTTTCTGTTCCTTTTCCTTTGAGGACCCCTAAAAATATTGAATGGTCATCAGCAGAGGAGAGATGCATGTTATAAGGAACTTTCCACACAGTGAGTGTGGGATTCCCTAACGATGGGTAAGTAAAAGAGCCGGGGGCAACTGGGAGTCACTGAGCAGGAGCACTGAAGACCCAGGCCGTCGGAGGGGACCATCTGCTGGGCTTTCCACATAGAGTGCTTTTCAGACCTGCTTCCCTTTCACCAAATTTCACCCTCGGTTCATACCTATAATCACATCCTGCCCCAGAGCCCTGGCCCGGGAGCCCTGTGATCCCAGGGCAGTCTGCACTGACTCGGGGCACAGGACAGGCAAGCAGAGGATGGACAGAGCTCAGAGCCCCGATGGCTCATGACCAGGCAGATGGCGATGAGGCCAGAGTGAAGCGGGCATTACACAAGGGACCTAATCATCTATCACTCTCCCTCCTGACGCTCAGCTTCTGGATAGTCTCTAAGGAAAAACCACTGCCTAACACTGAAACATCCCTGTGACTCAAAGGACTGGAAAATAGTGACATCAGCCACACTTGTCTCTTAGTGGAAGAAATCTGAGATGGTCAAGGTGACCGACGCTGGGCCAGGAGACTGTAGTCTGTGTAACTGGGGAAGCACCGTATGCAAGCAGGTGAGCCCAAGGGCTTTCGGAACCTGCGGCACCCACCTGTCTGCTAAGTAGCCGATGCCCACAGAACCGATAAAAAATCCCATGTTCACGGCCGACTGAAACAGGTCCAGCATCCAGGAGTTGGCACACACTAGGTTAAACTGCCGAGGGGCCAGAGGGGTCCCGAGTCAGGAGAGAAAGAGAAAAAAAATCCCGTTAGACTCGCCTCAGCCTGGGGAATTTATCACCCATGCATCCCTTGCGTTGAACTGATGGGCCAAAAGGTGATAAACCAGGGTGGGAACGTCTGGCCCGGGAAATCATTTGGTCTGGCCCTGCCAAGGCAACCGCAGGCAGGACTCGAAATTCAATAAATCTAGGAGCTTTTTCATCGCTAAGTTTTAAGTTGATAATTATGTATGGCCCATGAATGATGTTATAAACATCAAGTGGCCCTTGGCAGAAAAAAAGGTTCCCCACCCCTGCATAAACCCACTGTTTTCTTGTCATTGTATTAATTTTCTCTACCGGACCAAAAGGCTTGTCCTGCAATCTGTTTAGCCGAGTGACATATTGCCAGATGGAATGCTAAACTCTGCAGTTAGCTAAATCAGCTGAAATTGGGTAATTATTTTTGCACAAACCGTTTCCCTTTCTAATTCTGATACACGAAAGAAGAAAACAGGATTGTGAGCAGGACACAAAAGCTGCCCGGAGGAGGTTAGGCTGTTCCCGTGTCTTTGCTGCCTCTAACGGCTGGGGACTAGGAGCGTCCTGCTAAGGCTGTTAATTTGCTCTCATTTGGAACAAGAGGCAACGTCCCAGGAGGAACAGGTGCCGGCCTGGAAGGCAGGAGATCTGATTTCCAGGGCTAACAGCTAATTCTCCTACTCTGGGGCCTTAGGAAAACTTTTTCTGCTCTGGGCCTCAGTGTCCCCATCTCTGTTGAAGGGAGGAGTTCAGCTGCGCTGTGAAACCTCTCAGCGTTGTATGGCGTTAAATCTGTGATCTTCTGCATTGCATGCAACTATTAGGCCACGTTAGATCCTTAAAAAGGCTCCTCGACCTAAATGTCTGTTCACGTCGAATATCTTCACAAGCAGTCTTCAAACTGAGCCAGGCAGCTGGAGTTCTCTGTATTTTCAGAATAATTGCAACCCCCCCCCCCC